GCACCCGCCCCCCCCACACCCGCCCCCCCCACCCGCCAGCCCGCCCCCGCGCTGCCCCCACAACTCGTCCAGCCGGCCGGGCCCCGCCCCTCTCCCTCCGCCCCCTCCGCCCCCGCCCTCCGCCCCCGCGGCGGCCCGGACCCGCGAGAGGCCCGTCATCATCACGCCGATCGAGCGGAGGCGCAGCCGCGCGTGGGAGCGAGTCGAGTCAGGCACGCCCCCCTCCGCCGCGCCGCCCCGCCTCAGCTCCCTCTCCAACAGCGGCAGCGCGCGCGCGTACAGCTCGCCCGCGCTGCCGATCGCGGCGCCGCGCGGCGCGGCGCGCGACCGCACCTCGAAGCTCGAGTCCTTGAGCCGGAGCGTGAGCTTCTCGCCAACCAGCCCCGCGGCCAGCATGCTCGCGCCGAGCCCCTCGCACATCGTCCACAGCTGGCGGCGCAGCGCCGCAGGCTCGTCGCTCGACCCAAACGTGTCGGAGAAGGAGATGCCCTTCTGCATCGCGCCCGCGTCGCCGCCCCGCTCTTTCTCGCACCAGCCGAGCGCCACCTGCAGCAGCTGGTCTGCCTGCGGGACACGTCCCGGACGTGTCGTGGACGCGCCACGGCTCGCGCCTCCTGCCGCGGCTGGTGTCGCCCTGCCGCGCGAGAAGAGGCGGTGCTGTATCTCGGCTATATCTCGGCTATATCTCGGCTATATCTCGGCTATATCTCGGCGCCCTGCCGCGCGAGAAGAGGCAGTGCGCCTCGGCCGCAGCCTCGAGCAGCTCTCCGCCGGTCCGCACGCCGAGCACCTCCTGAAGCAGCTTCTCGGCGACGCGGCCGAGGAACGGGACCTGGCCACGAGGTGTAGCCGAGATGTAGCCGAGATGTAGCCGAGATGTAGCCGCGAGGTGTAGCCGAGATATAGCCGAGATGCAGCCGCGAGATGCCGAGGTATAGCCGAGCTGTAGCGCATGACCTCGGGGCAGCCTCGTGGTGTGCGGCCGAGGGCGGGGGCGCCTTGCGCGTCGGCGTGGCCGAAAGGAAAGCGAGGACCGCCTCTACCGTCGGCGAGACGGTGTGCTGCCCGTCCGGCTTGTTGACGTCGGCGCCCATCTTTGCGAGCAGAAAGTTGGGCGCGATGCCGGCCTGATCAAATGGAGCCACGAGACACTCATCAGACGTCGAGAAGCAGAGAGCAGTGCGGCGACGCGCCGAGAGCGTCAGCCCGCCCGTCGCGTCCCTCACGCGCCGCCGGATCTCGGACACCACGGGCCCGGCCAGCGCGTGCACCCTTCGCGCCGCCTCCACCTCGCTCAGCCAGCTTGCCACGCCCTCGCCGACCTCGCCCGCCTCCTCGCCCGCCTCCTCGCCGCCCCACCCCCACTCCCCGCCGGACATGTCCCACCGCGAGGAGAGCGGCGCCAGCCGCGGGGCAGCGCCGGCCTCCCCGCCGCCCGCCGGGCAGCCGCAGCCCTCTCCGCTAACCAGGCTCGCCCTCGCGTGGCTGCCGAACCTATCTCAGCAGTTAATTCGCAGTTAATTAGCACTTAATTAACACAGGCTCGCCCTCGCGTGGCTGCCGAACCTATCTCAGCACCGCACGGCGGATCACGCACCGGTGCGCACTCCCCCAGGCTCGCCCTCGCGCGGCACGCCGCACCGCACGCGCCGCCGCAGGTAGTGCGTCAGGTCGAGCGAGCACTCGTCGTACCCCATCCCGCACGAGACGGCCGGGTCGTACTCACGGTACACCTCCATCGCCGTCGCCGCAACCTCGGCGTACTTTTCGTACTCGGCCGGCACAAACGTCAGCTCGACCGACGGCATCCCAAACTCCTTCCCGCGCCGGCACAGCTCCTTGGCGACGAAGCCGGGCTGCCCGCTCCGCACGCCCCACCGGCGCGCGACGTAGTTGGCCGTCAGCACCAGCGCGCCGCCCACCGCCAGGGGCCTCTCCGCCAGCTCGGGCCGGTCGCGCATCGCCACCGCGGCGTAAAACTGATCAAAGTCGACCACGACGCACACGCGCTCGAGCCGGCGCGAGGCCTCGAGGTCGGCGCGCCGCGCCGCCACCGTCGCGCGGGCGGCGGCGCGCTCGGGCTCCGAGACCTTGCGCTTGGCGGCGAGCAGCTTCGCGACACGCCGGTCCACGGCCCTGTCGAGCTTGCGCTGGTGCGCGGTGAAGGGCGAGTTGGCGGCCGTCTGAAGCACAATCTCTGCAATCTTCTCGCTGTCGACACCGTCCATCCCCGCCTTTGCCGACGAGGAGACGTACAGCGCGCGGGCCTGGGCCGAGAAGGAGGGGCCGCCAGAGGAGGGGCCGCCAGAGGAGGAGCCGGCGGCAGAGGAGCCGGCAACAGCGCCGCCGAGAGGAGGATTGGTCACGCCGCCGTGCCCTTGTGTAGAGGAGCCGGCAACAGCGCCGCCGAGAGGAGGATTGGTCACGCCGCCGTGCCCTTGTGTGGGCGCAGCCGCCGAGGTTACCGCCGCCATCCGTGCACGGGATGGTTGCGATGGAACGATGGAGGTGGCCAGAGCAGCCGCCGCCGCCAGCCGCCAGCGCGCTAAAAAACGACCGTAGGTATATTGCTGCTCGTTCTCAGCGCAGCGCTCTTGCATTCACACCCGCACAGCACCCTGAGGTATTTTTATGTTCCCCCACCCGGGTGGGGGAATTTTATATTTAGCAATATGAGCCGCCGTCCCCACTCGAACTCGAGTCCGCCGACCGCTATAGGTCGAGCGGGGAGAGAGGCGCTGCCTCCACGGCGGGGACGGAGGCGACACCTCCGTCCCCACCGCCATTGGTTCGAGCGGCAAGCCTTAGGTAGAGCGGGGACGGAGACGTGGAAAAGCGTGCTTGTGAGTGGAAGCCACAAGCGCGCTGGCTCCGGTCGTTTGTAAATGAGGGTGTTTTTCTGTGTGTGTGTTTTCTTGAAGCCTTTCTTAAACTGGGTAACGAACCCCTGTCACTCCGTGAAGTGAACAGAAGAGAGGTGTGAACAGACTGGCGTGCTGATCGTGAAGAGGCGCCATGTCATCGGACACCGAGAGCACGGTCTGCGACCCGCGGTTAGAGGTCGCATCCGAGCCGCAAGTCCCCAAGGGGCCGGGCCAGATAAGGCGCGTGCCCCAGCTGTTCACAGCAACAGCACGGTCTACCCCCGTCGTCCCACCCCAAGTGCAGCAGCTTGGTAGCGGCGGATGGGACGCCAAGAAGAAGGCCGAGTGCCCCAAGTCGCCATTCCTTGGCCACAACTCGGCCTGGCTGAACGAGCTCGCCGACATCCCGATCGGATCGGGCGTCCTCTTCGAGCGCCTGTGCCACGCGTGCCCCGAGGTTCGAGATGACGCCAAAATGTCGGCCATCGCGATTTTTTCGACGCACCGGCAGTTCAAGTGCTTTTGCCCCGCCGAATGCGCGGCAAACCTGAAGGAGCGCTACTGCGGCTGCTTCAGCACCTGCCGGTCGGAGCTCTACGACCACCTCTCGCGCTGCCTCTTGATGCTCGTGTCTAACGTCAAGAGGGAGACCCGCGCGAGCGACGTCGTCTCTAAAGAGGTTGTCTTGCAACTGCTCGAGGACGCCTTCGAGAGCCACGGAAACCTCTCGTGGGCGCAGAAGATCGAGTGCGAGGAGTCACTCCGACTGACCCACTGCGCCTTGCACAACATCGTGCACATCGTCACGTCGAGCGGACCGCCCCACTTCCGATATGGCGACCTGGTGATCAACATCGAGGCCATCATCAATGTCTTCAACGCCAAGTCGCTCGACCCCGACGACTACTTGCAGTCGGTCCGCTGGCCCGATGTCCTGGCGGCCGCGGGCATCGACCCGCTTCTCGACGACTACGACTTCCTTTGCACTCCCCCGACCTTGCAAAACTCCACCGACTTCCGCTTCTCACATTTTGAGGACCCCCTCGAGGGCGGATGGCTCAGCGAGGCAATGGAAGGGGAGGTCGGGTCGTCCGGGGCCATTTTTGACAAGCACTCGCTCGGCACCTCCGCGATCTCGCCACCACCCAAGACTACCCGCTACAACGCCCCATTCATGAATGGCCGAGTGGACTCGCCCTGCCCCGTGCCGATCGACGACGGCATGCCATCGCAAGCGCAGGCAACCAATCTCGGTCGAGGGGGGAACGAACACTCATCAACGCAATCACGCAATCCCCTCAACACTCAGGCGACGAGCCCCTCGGCCATGTCCATGCACGCCAACGCCTCCCGCGTCGACGGCCCCTTCCGCGAGGACACGCCGCGGCCCTCGCCGACCTACTCGCCCGGGAGCGAGTCGCCCGCAAGCGATGGCGGTCGCTGTGCACCACCCGCCGCCGACCGTGCGGCTTCCGGCAGCACAGCTTGCTCTTCCCCAACCATAGGCCCCACCGACGACGAGTCCGAGACGCCTATGGACGTTGAGTCCTCGGTCGGGTCCGGCACCGAGTCGGGCGATGAGCGCGAGGACGACCCGACCCCGCCCAAGGGGCTTGCCGCCCACCGCGCAAACGCGGCGCAGGCGGAGGTCGCCGCCCTGAAGAATCAGCACCAGCAGCTCTACAACCAGGGCCGCGCCTGGGAGGAGCAGGCGCGCCTCGACTTCATGGCGGAGGGCTACTCCCTCGTCGCGCACCACAAGCCGGTCAAGGACGCGCTTCACCGCACCTACCCGAACGCACACCCGCAGGGCGCGGTCGTGTCCAACGGCACCCTCTGGGCCGTCAAGCCGCCGCCGTGCAAGCTCGAGATCGTCGAGTCCGACTCCATCTCGCACGAGCACGCCTGCGAGATGGGCAAGAACATCTGGGCAAACCAGCTGGAGCAGCTCGTCGCCGCGTTCCCGCGCAAGGAGGTGCACATCAGCGTCCTCGACGGGATCTGGTCGGTCAAGATGCTCTCCCGCCCGGGCGGCCTGAAGGAGCTGCTCCAGGAGGGCCCCCATTCGACCAACCTGGTCATGGTGATCCTTTCACGCTGCGCGGGCGAGATCATGAACGTCCTGACGCAGCTGGGCTACACGACGGTCGAGAAGTGGAGGTTTGCCAACGAGGACGTGCCGCTCCCGCGCATGCCCTCCCTCCGGGTCGAGGGATCCAAGCCGTCCTCGCGCGGCAAGCTGGGGGCGCTAATGTTCAAGCGCCTCTTTGCGCTCGTCGTCGGAGCGGCGGTCGACGACATCCTCCTCAAGGCGGACGGCAACGGCATCCGGTACGACCCCATCCCCCAGGGGTACGCTCACCCCGCCCCTCCACACACGCCAGCCCTTCCGCCACACACGCCAACCCCGCACTCGCCCACAGGTCCGGTCGCTGAGCCGCCGAGGGCGAAGGGGCCGCGCCCTGGGAGCCCTGCATTGGTCCCGAGGGGCGGGGCCGGGGGAGATGAGGCAGGACCCGGCGACGCGCGCGGGCGCGCCTTCCCCCCCTGTAGCGCGGACCCCCCGGGGGAGATGTCTAGTGTTCTCCCGAGAGATTCTGATGATGTCGGGTCGATGAGCCAGACCAGAGCCCTAGGGCGAGTGTCTGGCGTCCCGAGAGATGAGTTACCGTTTCGTGCGACCGAATTTACCATGCGCAAAGTCAAGGCACCCAAGTGTGTTAAGGATGCCATCGCGAAATCGAAAACGCCACTCGGAGAAGAGACATGCGTCTCTCGCCCGAGCGGAGCCCACAGGTCTTCAAAAGTCAGTGGCTTTCCCGCGTCGACGACCTCGAGCCCAAGCCCTCGGCCGTCGAGCTCTACGACAGCTTTGTGCGATCGGTAGAAGCAAACACCTCAGGGATGTACGACTCCTGCATTGACAGTGTCCGTGTCTTGCTCGGGGAGCCAACTGACGATTACAGGCGCCACATTAATGTCCTTACCGAGAACATGCAGCGCAAACTCACACGGACGGTTGAACTCCATGCCCCGGCGACACGTGTGCTCTTCAGTGCGCCTGGAGGGCAGGGACCGAGAAAGCAGGACAAACCGCGCGAACGGCCCGGCAAAGGCTCGGGGCCGTCAAGCAAAGGCCGAGGCGGGCCACAGCGCCACGATGGTCGCGGTAGTGGCTCGATCGGATCTAAAGGGCAACGCCGCCATGAGCAGCCAGGAGCTGGCCGCGGGACTGGCAAGAGCACCTCGGACAAGTCGGACAAGTCGTCCCTCCGCTGTCACCGATGCGGTCAGCCGGGACACCTCCGAAGCGAGTGCCCAAAGCCAAGACAGAGCTGCCCATTCATCCTCCCCAACGGCAGGAAGTGCGGGCAAGACCATAGCATATCGATGTGTTGGTACAAGAACCCGTCGCTCTGCCCAAATCCGCGCATTCGCGAGAAGATTGAGGCGAAGCTGAAGAAGGCGAGCACGACATCGTCACAAATGCTAACCGTGCCCAACGAGGACGACTGGGACGACGTCGAGACAAGGATCCTGATGACCATGCCGACCGCGCACCCAGCTACGGACGAACAGGAGCGCACAATGGAAGCGCTCAAGCGCCATTTTGAAGAAGCCTCGGCGCTCTCAACCAAGGACGCCATTGACGCTATTGAGCGCATGGTGTATGGCTATGTGAAAGATGCTGATCTGGCCGAGCGCGTACACGCGCTTTCCGTTGAGTTTTGGGGGCCGGAAGGGTGCCCTGACCTCACCGACCCCCCCACGCATAAAATGAATTTGCGCCAGGGCCCCTATGGGAAGACTGTCGACTGCCGACGCTTCGGCACTACGATTGGAGGCGATGAGGCCTTCTATCTGGACAACATGTGGGAAAGGTCCTGCCGCGAGGCACGCGACGCCTCACGACGCGGCGAGCCAAGAATACAAGTAATGTGCACTCGCCCATCGACCACCTGCCATGCGCCTACTGCAAGCGCTGGCACCGGCTCTGGCGACGCGCCCACAGAGGAGGCAAAGGAGCCAAACAAAGAAGGCGAGCGCCCCGAGACTCCACCCGCTTCCAACGTGAGGGCGGACACCCCACCAGACCGCCCGCACAAGCCCGAGGCTATGCGCCGAAACGCTTGCGAGGACGACACCCTCGGGCCCGAATACGGAATGACGACGGTACAGGAAGCACCGGAACCGGAACCGGACGCCATCATTGACCGTCTAAACCTACTTTGCGAGAAACTACGCTACTGTGCGGCATGGGACGACGCCGCGCAGAATTACCACCTCTACCCCGAGAGTGGCTGTCCCGACATCGAGGACAATGCTGACCTGTGCGAGCTGTTCGAATTAGCAGCTCGGATGGGCTACATCATACACACGCAACGTCATCCCCGCAACCCCCCTGCGCGTGCGCTCGAGGTGGGGACTGAGGATGAAGAGTGTAATGCTAGCGTGCACACGACAGTGCCGCAAACGGGCGCGCCCTGCACCGCGCCCGTCGCGCACCACGGATCAGACCTGTTCATTGACTCGTGCGGCGGACACAACGTCTTCAACGACAAGCGGTTTATAATGCAGCCACATCTGCACCGCCCGTCGAGAACCCGAATGGAGACAGGAGTTGGCAGCTCAGAGTGCGCTAAGTCCTTCGGCCCGATCGAATTCGAGATCAAGACCGAAGGAGGCGACTGGGTGTGCGTCCGTCGCCTCGGCTACTACGTGCCGGACTTCAACGCCAACATCCTCTCCCTCTTCCGGGACAGGAGGCTCTTCGGATCGACGATATCCACAACCAATCAAGGGGGTGTGCCAGTCGACACGCTGCACATAGACAATGCAAGAGTCACCCTGGACACGTCGAGAGACATCTCGAAGGTCAAGATCCGACCAGTGCGCGACCCACGATCCGTACCGGTGTCACAGCCGGTCATGCCAATGCTATCCACTGCGCCTACAACGCTACCCTATGCAGCCGACCTGTGGCATCGACGCTACGGGCATATGCCCGCGTCGACCATGATGATGTTGCCACATGTCACGACGGGGTGTGAATTTAAGCTCACCCCGCAACAAGCCAAGCGCCATCGGGATTCGTGTAGCATATGCATACAATCCCGAATGCGAAGGGCGCCCGAGACAAAGAAGGCGCCCCGTTTTGAGAAGTCGCGCGCCCCCGGCGAGCTTGTCCACTCGGACCTACTCGGACCGCTCCCCGCGAGTCTAGATGGGGGGTATCGGTACCTCGCTGTTTTTGTCGACGACTTCTCGCGCTACATCATGGTATATCCGATGCGAGAAAAGGGTGAACTCGACGCCCAGTACGCCCGATTCGAGCAAGATATGTCGGAGTACTTCATCAGCCAGCGTCGCCAACTACACACTGATAATGGAGGGGAGTTCGTGAGCAAGTCGCTGGCCGAATACCTCACCACGAATGAGATTAAACACACCACCAGCTCTCCCTACTCGCCGAACCAAAACGCCATCGCCGAACAGGCGATGTGGCGGCTCTGTTCGGTGGCGAGGGCGATGCTGCTTGAGTGCGGACTCCCTACCTGCCACTGGGCGATGGCGCTCACGCAAGCAGCGCTACGACTCAACATCACGCCTCGACGCACGATCCGAGCCGGATCCAAAATTAAAGGCGCGAGCCCCGACCCAAGCGATGTGGCCTGGACCACCCCTTATGAACGTCTAAAAGGGCGCAAGCCAAACGTGCGCTTCCTGCGTGTGTTTGGATGCCGGGCCTGGGTACTCAACGAGCCTATCCAAGGACGTGCCAAGCTCGAGTCAATCGCAACAGAGGGATGGTGCATCGGGCCAGCGCGATACTCGCGTGGAATGGTCATTTACATCCCCGACAGCGAATCGCCCAACGACTTAACAAAAGGCAAGTACAAGATCACCCGGAACATCCGGGTAGACGAGTCGTTCACGCCCAAGGGACGCGTCGACAGAGGGCCATCACTAGCGCCTCCGATCGTCGCGGGGAGTGGACGCCCCCAGGCAAAGGACGTGATACTCTTCCGAGTCCCTGCCAAAGCTAAACCGGGTGACGTGCTCGATGTCACCTCGCCCAAGACGGGTAGAAGCGTGCAAATACGCGTCGCCGAGAGGATGTACCCAGAAACATACTGGACGGCGTACGACCGACCATCCCGAACGCCGACGACGCTGTCTTTGGCACAACGCAATCGATAATCGACGCGAGCGCTGATGGAGCCGACGCTGGGAGCACCACTGCACCCTCGCGGGGCCTTCCCACAGAGGGGGTGCTAGTCGGCGGCAGAAGCAAGCAGCTCAAGAAGATATCCAAGCGCGCTCGCAACAACGCCATCAAGGGTGGCCCCGTCAACAGCCCGTCGTCTAACCCGACACTTCCACCAACCTGGGTGACAGCTGTTCCAGGGGGTGGCGCCTCCGGGGACGATGTCACCTGGGCAACTCCGGTCCCACCGCCCAGGGTGACCGCCGTGCCCGGAGGGCCCAAAGGTACTGACGTGACTTGGGCGAGCGTCGCTGGGCGCCATGACAGCCAGCAGCCTACACCCCAAGCCTCGGCTGAGGGGGTGGACGGCGCGCAGCTCGTGACTGCGAACATGACGCATACAATGCGCATGCACAGGACAGACTTCGAGGAGCTCAGTGAGGCTCTCGAAGACGGTGACGAGGAAGCGATCGAGCAGTTCATCACCAAGCAGAAGATGTTACGAGGCGATGACCCCGACGTCACATACACGGTCGGCATCCCCCCAAGCTGCAAGTCTGCCCTAACGGGCCCTGACAAAGAGAAATGGATGCCGTCATACACTGAGGAGCTAACGGCACTCCAACAAAATAAGACGTTCTCCGTAGAGGACATCCCCGCCGGCGTCCATGTCATCGACCCAACAGTTGTGCGAGATGTCAAACGTGATGAGAACGGCCGCCCAGACCGCTGGAAGACGCGCGTCTGCGCTCGAGGCTTCATGCAGCGGCTGGGCGAACATTACTTCAACACGTTCAGCAACACGGTTCGATATGAGACGCTGCGGCTACTTATGGCGATAGCCGCAGGCAACGACCTCGCCCTTACGAGTCTTGACATCAAGACGGCTTACCTCAACGGCTACATCGAAGGGGGCGTCCAGATCTACATGCGCTTTCCTGCCGGATGGCACTTTGAGGGTGACGGATTCGACTACACCTTCAAATACACTGGTGATCACACGCGCAAGAGGGGGCGTCCCGAGCGTGGACTACGATTGGTCAAGGCCATCTACGGTCTGAAGCAGAGCGGAGCACTCTGGGAAGAGACGCTCCGATCGTTCCTACTCTCCATCAACGCCATCCAGTGCGTCGTTGACCCGTGCCTGTGGCGGTACTCCAAAGGCGGCAACACCCTGCTCTTCGTCGTGTACGTTGACGACATCGTGATCGCCTGCTCCAACCAAGACTTTCGCGATGCGTTTGTGAGCATGCTCCAAGAGCGATTCACATTGCGCGACAATGGCCCACTCACCTGGGTGTTCGGTTCTGCCGTCGAGCAGGACCTAGAGCAAGGCACCGTTAGCTTTCACCAAAAGCTCTTCATTCAAGATACCGTCAAGGAGTTCCTGGGCGACGACCCCCGCCCCAGTAAGCGCGCCGTACCGTGCAACGACGACATCACCAATCTCACCCACCTCGAAGAGGGTGAGATGATGCACCCACGATACGCCGAAATTGTTGGCAAGATAGGGTGGTTGGCCAACATCTCCCGACCAGACATTGGCTACGCCTACTCGATGCTCTCAAAGTTCCTAAAGGGGGGCGGGGAGCGCCATTTCAACGTTGCCCTTGGCGTCCTCGCTTACCTGGACAAGACCAGGGACAAGACGATCACCTATCGCCGCGAGGCGGATGGCAACCTCGCCGATCACATCGTAGAGCATGCCGACTTAGCCAGCTTCGACTACGACAGGTTCGTGCCGATCATCTTCTCGGACACCTCTCATGGCGGGGAAAAGCCTCAGGCGGGATACGTGATTTTTGTGTGCAATGGGCCTGTCTCTGCACACGCTGGACGCCTTAAGTCCACGCCCACCTCATCGTCCGAAGGCGAGTATGCCATTGCGACCAAGGCCACACAAGCGGCCATCGCGGTCTCGGACACCATCAAGTTCATGGCCGAGGACCTACCCGACTACAAGGGCAATAAGTCGGACCTCGGATGCACAATGCCGCTCTTCTGCGACAATAGGGCGGCCGTGCTCCTTAGCGAGGGCAACACCTCCTCGAAACGCATGCGACATGTGGCGACTCAGATCGCCTTCCTGCGCGAGCAAGTGAAGGATACGAAGCGCGTTAGGCTCACCCACATCCGAACGCAGGGGCAAGTGGCCGACCTTTTCACGAAGCCACTGACAGCGGCTGTCTTTCACCCCCTGCGCGCATTCGTCGTGTCGTAGCGCCGAGTGACCACTCGCCGACGCCCACCCACGTGATTGAGGTGGTGAGCAGACGGAGGTTGCGTCACCGTACCAGCAGATGCATGCATGAAGATGGCCAGGAACGAGCCAAGCATGTGCAGCGGCTAGGATGTACAGCAGGAACGCGCCGCGTACACCAGCTAGCCACTGAGGGGGTGAGCTGCTCGTTCTCAGCGCAGCGCTCTTGCATTCACACCCGCACAGCACCCTGAGGTATTTTTATGTTCCCCCACCCGGGTGGGGGAATTTTATATTTAGCAATATGAGCCGCCGTCCCCACTCGAACTCGAGTCCGCCGACCGCTATAGGTCGAGCGGGGAGAGAGGCGCTGCCTCCACGGCGGGGACGGAGGCGACACCTCCGTCCCCACCGCCATTGGTTCGAGCGGCAAGCCTTAGGTAGAGCGGGGACGGAGACGTGGAAAAGCGTGCTTGTGAGTGGAAGCCACAAGCGCGCTGGCTCCGGTCGTTTGTAAATGAGGGTGTTTTTCTGTGTGTGTGTTTTCTTGAAGCCTTTCTTAAACTGGGTAACGAACCCCTGTCACTCCGTGAAGTGAACAGAAGAGAGGTGTGAACAGACTGGCGTGCTGATCGTGAAGAGGCGCCATGTCATCGGACACCGAGAGCACGGTCTGCGACCCGCGGTTAGAGGTCGCATCCGAGCCGCAAGTCCCCAAGGGGCCGGGCCAGATAAGGCGCGTGCCCCAGCTGTTCACAGCAACAGCACGGTCTACCCCCGTCGTCCCACCCCAAGTGCAGCAGTATTGTACGACGCTTTTTTTTCGCCGGTACTTTGGCCGTCGACTTTCTTCTCTGTACTTTGGCCTCGAAGGTGCCTACCCAAGCTCAATTTTATATAGCAGGGCCCGCCCCCAGTTCGGTCTAGCGGAGACTGAACAGGCGCTCGTGCAAGCCCTACCGCATCCGAAAGTCGCATCTGAGGCGGCGGGCCCCCGTGGCGTGACCCAGCGGAGCACTCCTTCGCCGCTCGCTGCTACATAAAAATCCGAAGTCGGTAGTTTCTTGGTACGCTGCAGCCAGATCGTGCGATGCTCTCCACCCTCTCGCTAACGCTGTCCTACCAGGTGGGCGTGCCCAGTGGCCGCGCCGCCATCGGCACCCGCTCCGCCGGCGGGCCGGCCATGATGGCGCGCACTCCGCTCATGGCGGGCAACTGGAAGATGAACACGGACCTCGACGAGGCTGTGGCGCTCGCGAAGGCCGTCTCTGCAGAGGCGGACAAGGCGTCCGGCGTCGACGTGGCGGTGTGCGTGCCGTCCCCGTTCCTGATTCCGGTCAAGGAGGCGCTGGCTGGCGGCAAGGTCGGCCTCGGCGCGCAGGACTGCCACTGGGAGGACGCGGGCGCCTTCACGGGTGAGAGAGCCGCCCTCGCCGCCTCGCGCCGGAGCGCTGCGCCGCCCCCGCCGCCCGCCGCCCTCGGGAGAGGAGAGCTGGCCGGCCGGAGCACCGGGAGCGACCGGCGGCCGCTCCCTCGCAGGCGCGATCTCGACCTCGATGATCAAGAGCGTCGGCTCCGACTATGTGCTGGCCGGCCACTCTGAGCGGCGGGCGGTCTTCGGCGACTCGGACGCGGACGTGAACAAGAAGGTGCTCAAGATCCTGGCGGGCGGGCTCAAGGCCATCCTCTGCATCGGCGAGCTCAAGGAGGAGCGCGAGTCCGGCGAGACGTTCAACGTTTGCGCCACGCAGCTCTCCGAGGGACTGGCGGGGGTGGACGCGGCGATGATGAAGGACATCGTCATCGCGTGAGCGCCGCCCTCGCCGCCCCTCGCCGCGCCACCCCCCACCCCCTCCTCTCCCCGACGCCGCACCGCCCGGCGCAGACGCCGCGGGTCGCCCCTCACCTCGCCCCTCGCCCCCCCTCCGGCTGCAGGTACGAGCCGGTGTGGGCCATCGGCACCGGCCTCACGGCGACGCCCGAGGTGGCGCAGGAGACGCACGCGTACATCCGCAGCTGGTTCGTCGAGAACTACAGCCAGGAGGTTGCCGACGCGGTGGTGATCCAGTACGGTGGCTCGGTCAACGACAACAACGTCGACGACCTGATGGCGTGCGCCGACATCGACGGCGCCCTCGTCGGCGGCGCCAGCCTCAAGGCGGACTCCTTTGGGCGCATCGTCAACTACGTGAAGAAGTGAGCCAACGCCGCGCCGAGCGTTTGTTCGCAGCAGTGCCGCGCGCCGAGGCCGATCCCGCCAAAACCCGGACCGCGGCGTGTTGCGCCGCGCCCGCATAGGCGCGGCCGGGGCCCTGCTTTTTTGAAGAGGTAGGCCCCCTTGGCTAGACGTGCGCGGCACGCCACCATGGCCTCAGTTAAACGGTGGTAAATTCTTTTTGGCGAGCGCGAGTTGGACCGACGCTTCTGGCGAGTACAGACCACGCCTCACTTTTTCACAGTGCTTTTCGCTGCGCATGTGCTCGAACCCCGGCGAGGGGCGAGCGCGAGCCGCGAGGGCTTGTTGTCCGAGGAGGCCACCGGCCAAAAGCGCATGTCTTGAAGGTCCGATACTGGAAGCCCATATAGGCACCTTACACTTGTGCTGTGAATAGCAGCGTGGATCGCCAGCCGACGCTTGAATGCCGCCACAGCGAGCGACACAGCGAGCCTGGGCCTGGAAGGGCACCGCCTCGCTCTCCGACGCTGCCGCCGACACCTTTGCGCTGCGCAAAAAGCAGGCTCGCGTGAGCTCAGCGGCGCTACACCACGCCAGGTGGATTGGCAGTGCCGTCGAGCCGTGGCAGTGGCAGCCGCCTCACATTGCCGAGCCCGCGTCTATGCTCGATTCGCCAAGCATCGTCCCTCTGCAGGGCGCGGACCTGGCCGCAGGTCACACCGCCGTCGCGCAGGCTCTCCTCTCGCGCTTTGAGCTGCTGGCGAGGGCGTGCACCGAGGCGAGGCAAGCCGCCGCCCTCTCCGAGACACGGCGCCGGTCGGCCGAGGCGGCCGCCGCTCGTGCAGAGGCGGCGGTTCGCGAGAAGTTCGAGCGCGAGGTCGAGATGACGCAAGCCCTCCACGCCGCCCAGCAGAGGGACGAGGCTGCGGCAACGCGGCTCGCCGACCTCGAGGCGTCGCTGCGGTCGGCGCTTGCAGAGGTGGCAGCATCGCGGCGCGAGGCGGCAGCGGCGGCGGCCTCGAAGGCTGAGCTGGCCCGGGTGCGTGCTGACGCGGCGGAGGTGCAGCACCGCTGGGAGTCCGCCTCCGCGCGGGCGGGAGAGCTCGAGGCGCAGCGGGACGAGCTCGAGGCGCAGCTGGCCGAGGCGCGCCGGAGCTACTCCGAGGCGGAGGCGGAGGCAGACAGGGAGGCGGAGGCGCGGGGGGCGGCGGAGCGGGCCGTCGCTGCCCTGCGCGCCGACGCGGAGGAGCGGGCGGCCGCCTCGCGCGCCCTGCTCGAGGCTGCGGAGCAGGCCGCCCTCGGGGAGGGGGGCTGGAGGCAGCGCTCGCCCAAGCCTTCCACGAACCGCCACCTCGATGGCACCGTCCTCAGGCGACGCGGGCGGCGGAGCGGGAGGCGAAGGAGCGCGCGGTGTCGGAGGCCGAGGCGAGGCGCGATCTCGCGCGTCTCGAGGCGCAGGCGGCGACGCACATGCTGGTGAGACGCGCGCGCCTGCGGCTCCTCCCGCGATTCGCTTCCCTTGCCCGCGGTTAGGCGCATCGGGAGGGACGCGCCGAGGGGGCAGGGGGGCCCGCCGCCCTCCCCTCCGACCTCTCCTCGAACCTCTCGCGGCGACTCGAGCGGCTCGAGGAGGCGGCCGCTCGGGGCGGGGAGGAGGCGGCCGCCGAGGCGTCGGCCGCCGAGGCGTCTGCAGCCGCCGTGAGCCTGTGCAGGCGCCTCCTGCACCGCGCGGCGGTGGAGGTTGCGGTGGCGCGGCGGGACCGCGACCAGGCGCGCCGCTCGGTGGCGCGGCTCGTGTCGTGGGTGGGAGAGAAGTCGCTCGGTGTTGAGGCGGCCGAGGCGATGGCTCGGGCAGACCTGGTGGAGGCGGTCGGCGAGCGGGCGGCGCGGCTGGAGGAGAGGGCGGGGCTGGCGGCGGCGGAGGGGGCGAGGGAGGCGCGGGGCGAGCTTGCGACCCTCGCCGAGGTGCTGCGGCTGGCGGCGGCAGCGGGGCCCAGCGACCAGCCACCGCCTCCGCCGCCGGACGAGGGCAGCGCGGGGCCGTCGTCGTGATTACTTACCGTATACAACAGTCAACTTCTAGAGACTAGAGTGGTAGCGGCAACCGGTAAGTGGGACGCAGACACCCGACCATGTGGTGACATGTGATCATATTGGACACATTGTGTCTTCCACCTACCACCACCTTGGGGCGGGGAATCTGGTGTCTTCCTTGGTATGAGGGATATATGCTACGGGCGTGCGCCTGATTTCTTTTTCCCGACGCAGGGGTCGCGAGTGCGTGGTGGCGACTCCAGCCCTCGACGCCGTGCCCTCGCCGGACTTCGCAGCCTCGCTGCCCAGCGTTCCTGCCGCAGCAGCGCTGACCATGGCAGGCGGTGCCGACAGCGAGGATTGCTTGGAGTGCAAGCTCGTGGGCAGCGGCGCCATGTTCAGCCTCTCGGGCTACTTCTTCTACCTGTCACACAGCCCGCGCTTCTCCTCGTCTTCGACCTCGGGTCTCCGCTCCTTCAATGGAGTCATGTGTGCTGCGTTTGCCGCCGCCGGTGTGGCGCGCTTGTTTGCGGACGACGTACGGAGAGTGTTGGCGAGACAGTGAGACGCGAGCAAACGTTTGCGGGAGACGCATGGGGAGGGTTCTCAGACACAAAGGGTCGCACTCGCTGCGCCCCTCACGCGCTGGTGCGGTGGTGGGACAGTCGCCGAGAAGCAGTGTCCGACACACGTGGCCCACCGACATACTGCCCGTCGTATCGCGGGTGTACCACACGGTGAGTTGCGGTTCGGTTGGGCGTTGGGGGACTTTTGGGTTCACAGCCGGATTGTAATTTCGTGGAGGAGCTTTTGACGGCCGCGGCCGTCCGACTCCGAGTTTGAACGCGCAGAACGGCGCGCCGCCTCGTGAGCTGAGAGTCAGTCTCTCTCGCAGCACACCGCACCTCCACGCCTGTCACCTCTCACACACGTGTGAGTCCGTGTTAGAGTTGTTTGGTATTGCTAAAAATCTCTCTCACACGGTGAGGGCTTAGAGGCCCACAAAATCGGAGAGATTCTCTTACGTTCTCTTCAAATCGGTCGAGCGGGTCGAGATCATTGTGTTTTGTCCCCCACACGGCACACGGCTCACGGGTGTGGCGCAGAGGCACCTCTCCTGCGAGTCCGGCAGGCCGCCGCGCGCCGACACAGCTCTAGCTGGGTCGAGCTGAACCCGCAGCTAACCTCAGAGCGGAAACTGTGGCAAGACTACTCGAGTACAAAGACTCAAAGGTCACGAGTTAGCGGGGGGGGGGCGGGGGGGGGGGCGTAGCTGGAGACGGTTCAGGAATCAACACACGTGGACTACAGTTGTAATCTAGTGTGGCTCTCTCGAAGATGCCGCCGCGTACGCCCTCTGACCCAGACCTCTTCTCCTTACCCGCTGAGCTGCTGCTCGCAATCGCCCGCCGGCTGGACGTGTGCTCCCGACTAGCCCTCGGCTCGACCTGTGGCTGTGCGCGGCTCCTTGTCGTCAACGCTGCAGTGCTCGAGGTCCAGCTCAGCAGCCGGGCCGCCGGGCTGCTCTACGAGGCCAGCGTGAAACTGCAGGTCCGCAAGAGTGATAATCCTTTGAGCCGCGCTAGCCACGCCATGCGAGTCAAGGGCCGCGTGCTGCCCTTGTACAGCGCTCTCCACCCAGAGAGTGAGAAGTTCTCGCTCTGCGGAGAGGTGTCCCTCTCGGATGCGGACGGAGGCGTGGACGTCTGCGGCACTGCGCGCATGCGGCGCAGTGCGCGAGACGAGAGCCGCCACTTGCTTCCGGTCGGTCTCGCTCCGGACTGCTCGTGCCTCGGCCTCTCCGACGGCGTGCTCTCTGCCGCGCCGCTCGCGGCGCCTCCCATCGCCCCGCCTCCCCTCCGCGAGCTGCCTCGTGTGAGCCTGAAGAGCTCCCTCCTCGTCCTCGACCTCAGCCGCGCACAGCGCGTCTGCTCGCTCGCCGCCTCCGGCATGGCCCGCCTCCGCACCGTCCGGCTGCCTCCCTCGGCAAAGGCCGTCTGCCTCGAGGCCTGCTCCTCCCTCGCCGACCTCCGACCCACGGACGGCTGCCCCGACCTCCTCTCGCTCCGCCTCGACGGCTGCCGCCAGCTCCGCGGCGCCTCCTTCGCCGACGCCTCTTGGTTCGCGGCATCGCTCGCCGAGCTCGACCTGAGCTGGTGCAGCCGCGTCGAGGGCAGAGACGTGGCGGCGCTCCTGCGAAGCGCCATGTCCCTCCGCTCGCTCAGTCTGCGAGGCTTGCGCCTCGGCGGGCTCCTCGAGGCAAGCGAGCAGAGCGGTGCGCTGCCCCGCCTCTCCGCCCTCGACGTCGGCTTCTCGTCCAGCATCGGCTCGGAGGCCGTGCTCGCCTTCGCAGAAAGGAGGAGTGAGCTGCTGCGCTGCAACCTGCGCGCGGCTGGCACCGTCAGCGCCGACGTCTACAACCGGGTCGGCCAGCTCATGCAGGAGCGCGCCGCCGCCGCCGCCGCCGCTTCCACAGACGTGATTGAGAACCGGCGGCGGCCCAAGCATCTCGCAGCGCGTGTCGCGGAGCCCTTCTACTACCTCAAGCGAGCGCGGCGCGGCGGCGACGGCGCGAGTTGATCGTGTGGGCCGTGTGAGGGAGAGAGTGAGCTGTATGCCGCGGGGGGTGGGGGGGGGTCCCGGGGTCGAAACACCTCTCCGACAAAGGAATTTGGGGGGGGGCTCAGCGCACCAGTAATAAAACTAGTACCACCGTCGTGCTTTCAGTTTGTGCTCTCTGTGTAAAGGGGTAGTGTGTACCACACACACCTTTTTCACGCGCGTTCCACATATAATCTTTTTTACATACCTCTGTACTGAGAGAGAGACCGTGTGTGTGTGTGTGTGTGTGTGTGTGTGTGTGTGTGTGTGTGTGTGACTTGTGTGTGTCTGAAGTGTGAAGAGAGAGAGTGAGAGAGCTGAGACGTGAGAGAGAGAGAGTCTGCCAGGGCTAGTGCCATTTCACTGTGGCACAGCTCGCGTTACAAAACCTTGATTTTGACCATTGCGCGAAAAATGTACCTCTCGGTGCCTTCCAGAGGCAGCTGCGACACCATTCAGTATGTAATAAACCCCCGCCTGATCAAAAATATCGCCCTTCTTTGCCACCACATTCAGCAGGCTGGCGATCTTTTCGGGATTGCGGGCGATTGCCGTCACCTGATGTCCCCGGTCGGAAAGTTCCTTCAAAATGCGGGACCCGGCATTGCCGGAGGCTCCGATAAGCGCGATTTTAGCCAT